TAAACAAAAAGAATGTTTTTAACAAATCTTGCTTGCTTGCTGGAAGCTAAAAATACTTAACTATATAATTTCAATAACATTAAACTTCAATAGAATTTTCATAAAGTCTTGTTTTTAAAGTATTTGAAGCCTGTTTTATTATTATAAATGTTTTATTTTAGTGACACACAAAAAGGCGATAGTAACATACACAATAATTATAGGAAACTAAAATTAAAAGTTTTAACTACCATCTTATAACCACATTATACATAGTTTATATGATCATAAAAGTTTGTCACGCGAGATTTACTAGTGTAAATAAACTAGTGCCAATTCAATTATGTAAAATCTGCAAAAATAAGATTTAAAAATTCGATTTAATTTAATATTGATAGGTGCTGAAACTTCGTGGTTATAAGTTGGTAGTTGAAATTAAAAAGGAAAATTTTATTTACTTATTTTTAGAGCGTTTAAATAAAATTTCAACCCGAACAGTCGTTAAAAACAGAATTTTGAAAACCGTTCTATATTCAAGGAGAAATCTGTGAACTTCTTAAAAAAATCCGCGTAAAAAAGAACTTTCTCCTTTTGAATTGTCGCTTTTGAAAAACGAAGCGACATTCATATTAATAGCTAGTATTTAAGACATCTTGTGTGTGCGTTTACTTTTACTAAAGATGGATCTTAGTAGACCTTCTCAAAGATCGGATCTCAATGGATAACACAAAGAACTGGGTGGACATTATTTAGATTATCATAACAATAAGCTTTTAATTAAAGTTATTAGGTATTATCTCTAAATAATACTGTCTTGTATAAAATCTCCGTAAGGTCATTGATGTAAATAAGGAAAAGCAATAGACCTTATCTATTATTATATATGTATTTATAAAAGGAGATGTCCTGACGTATTGACTGACAGACAACGCACGGCTTAAGCCGCTGGTCGTAGAGACTTGAAATTTGGAGGGGACATTCCTCTTATTACGTAGAGGTGTACTACCCTCAATGTTTTTTCATTAGTTCTCACAATCTTTTCAATTAAACTCGTCAAAAAAGCCGCTGTGAGTTGTGAATTGTGTTCATTAAACGCTTGATATAATTGTTATAACACAATGATTGTTTGTGCCAAATAATTCAATTCCTTTTAATTTCATACAATTTATTTTTCATAGGTTTGCTTTCACAATACAATTTTCGATAGAAGTCAACTGTCAACATTTCTTCCACTAATAAGTACAAGCAGCCTGAACAATGATATAATTGTGATTTATATAATATATAAAAAAATAAATGGACTAATATTATTAGTCTATTTATTTTGGTAAATATCTGATTATCTCTTATTATATGATGTAATCAGCGACAAGAAGAATCATTTAATTATTCCATACTAGTATTATACATGCGAAAGTAAGTTAAAGTCAAATTCAAAATAATAAATTCAAAATAATATCTTAATGAATGAATGAATGAATGAACACTTTATTGTACTTGAAAATAAAATCAACATAACAAATTAATAACAATAAACAGTACAATTGGCGGCCTTATCGCTAAAAAGCAATATCTTCCAGGCAACCAAAAGTTAGACTGGACAGTTATTATATTATCATACTGGCTGTGCCCGCGACTTCGTCTGCGTGGGAAGTATTTTGGTAGAATTCTTCTTACCTATGAAAGGAGTCGAATCGAATAAGATCAATGGGCCATAACCTATGCGGGCTTAATGCGGATAGGTGGGTGTTAACGTTGCTGATGCAGCCATGACTAACGGCTTAACGTGCATTGTGCCAGTGTTGTGCACACAGTGCTCAAGATAATAATGTTTTGGTCACCCATCCTGTGAACGGTCTTTACGAATGTTATTTTTCTATTTTTTTCTAGTTTCTCGCGCTCTGGTTGTCGCTTATGTCTGAGCATTTTATTCGTTCCTTTAAACTATCCTTCTTTTGTTTTTGATATTTTTAAATTATTATTATTTGTCTAGTTGTATGCACAATTGTCTATTTATTGTTCTATTTTCCACGTAATACTAGGTTGCCTGTAAGAAATCGCTGGCTAGCGATGAGTTTGTCGTTTGTACTTAGTTATGTAAAATAACTATTCATGTATGTCCTTGTTGTGCAGTATTTACTTACTTATATAACTGCAATTTATGCGCTTTGCTATCTACTACGCCATCGGACCTCTTATACCTAAGCTATACTAATATTATAAAGAGGAAAGATTTGGTTGTTTGTTTGTTTGCATCGAATTTGCTCTAAAACTACTTGATCGATAATTTCAGCGCGGTTATAATTTTGCGGCAAAGTCGCGGGAAAACAGCTAGTTCCTTATACCCTGTGAAAGCTTATCTGCGGTACGCCTGTGGAATATGAAGGCAACATGGGTTGGCGATAATCGAAACTACTTTCTCGATCTCTATTGTGCAAACTGCGAGCTCTTTCAGAGACAGAGTTAAATACGTTTTGCGTTTTTCAGGTGTCTCCCGAGACCGAGCGCTTTCCGTCCGATCTCTTTCTTTGTCAATAAAAGTCGGTCGGTACATGTCTGACGGAAGATACGTGGAGTATTAATTTTTGATAAAAAAAAAATCATATTTTAATTTCGACTTTCCACACTCGAAGGAAATCGTCTACTAACACATATTTCCGAGAGGTGCTTAACTGGGCTTCCGTCAGATTTGAACGGCCGTCATCATCATCATCATCAGCCCTTTTAAATCACCAACTGCTCAGGAGCTCAGGCCTTCCTTATGCATCCATAATCATAAAAGCTTGTCCCATCCTCCTTAATCATCATTAAGGAGGATGGGCCACGACCCTCCATGCTGGCCCAATGCAGATTGGAGGATATTAACGACTGCTAATACAACCGAGACCAATCGCTTTACGTGCCTTCCAAAGCTTGGAGTTGCTTGAGATAGTATTTTTTTGGTCACCCATCCTGTGACCGACCTTTGCGAAAGTTGCTTAACAACTACAATCGCAGGCCATGGTGCTTATTCACTACGCCACTGAGCTACTCTGAACCAACCCTCAGACTCAAGTAATATTATATGAGTGTTGTGACCAGATGGAAAACTGGAGAGGCTCGGGTAAATCGAGTGCCTCTCCCAGACAGACGATGCTTAATTGCATTATCCGAAGGCTCTTTTTGCTTGTTCTCCTACTTGCTTGATCGTATACCACACATCTGTTATAAGCTGAACCCTATTTAATATGATTGGCCATGTATAAATGAGGTCAACTTACTTTGGAGTTTTCAAAATTTTGGTATCTTTTTTTTTGTCATCAAACAAATTATCATTTTATAGACAAAATTAATTCGTAGCTCGGTGGCGCTACGGATAAACGCCGCTGCGCATTATCGCTATTGTTAAGCAATTTTCGCAAGAGTTGTTCACAGGATGGGTGACTAAAAATTATTAAACAAAGGCCGTTTTCACGCAGTTTGGCTGTTTTTATTTGTGAATCGATTGAAATAAATCTTACACTAAATGGTAACGGACGAATACCGCAACATAATAGTGAAAACTGCATTTAAATCGATTCAAACAAAAGCACATACAAACCGACAAACAGACAAAAAATTTAAAAATCATTGTTTTGTGTCTATTACACTTATAAATGTCCCTCATAACAGATTTTTATATATCTTCAATGTACAGACATCGATCAGTTACGTTTTTATTATAGTATAGATAGATAATAATATTATGTTAATATTATATTTAGCATTTTTGGAAATGCTGCCCAAAATATTACTTTATTATAGTTAGTATTTAATATATAGGCATGTCTTTAGTGATAGGTGCTTCTGCTTCCGTTTAATGGGTGCATTTTTTAGCAATAAAAAACTTTCAAATAAGCTGTATATAAAATTAAACTCAATCTGTTGCTAAATACTGCTAAAATGTTCTATTTTGTTCAAACATGACTCATTCTCATTATACCGTGGTTTCATTTACAAATTTTCCTATTTTAACACTATTAAAGGCAATTTTGTTTATGGAAGTTCAAAATGATAATAAGTTGACTAATCGTTTTACTAATTTTCCGTCATTATTTAGTGTCAATCAAAGGATTTCTATATTTTTACATTTGTAATTTTCTGTAACTATAATTGACATATCGTTAATTACACAGTCCTAAAGTAAAAGCACTAATGGATATGACAGAAATATTATTATTACGCAGGCAAATTATCTTTAAAAAAATTATACAGTAACATTCCCAAGACAAAGCCCATATTGTGATGGTTCTCCAATCATAGTTTGAGGAACATAGTCCGATCTCTAGTTGATTGAACAGAAGTTAAGCATATCTAATAAATGTGTTTATCAGTTCTCTTGTAAGGTGCTAAAACCCGAGCCCTTACTAAAAATATGCGTTTTACGTAATTTTGTTGTAACTCAGCGAGTGCTGGTCTGAGGTCTTCCCATAACCGAGGCGTCCTCTGGAAAGGTCTTATCTGTCATACTTATGTTAATTGCACAAAATATTGGCAAATGGCCTTGGTGAATTGAAGACTACATCCTGAGGGTTGAGACAGACCGAAGAGAGACTACTAAATAATAATTTGCAAAAATAGTTTCAAAAGGGTTATATTTAATAGATTATTAGAACTATCTGATCTTCAACTCACCTATCTATTGATTTTTTGGACTTTCTTCTCAATTCTTCAGATGAGACAAGTCGTTTCTACGTCATTATAAACAATAATGAGTTTTCTATTTATCGACAGCTAAAATTATATAATCACAGCATTTTAACATAAAAATATTGAGTGATATGTCTTGTTAAAATACTATTTTACATTTAAAACACAAAAAAAATGCTTGTATAAATATACTTAATAAATTATTCACAAAAACCGGCTGATTTTCTTTCCTTAACTAAAAGGAGTGACGTGGATTATTGATAGCCTAATGTATTTTTATGATAAATTGCTTGAGCTAATAGTTTATCTTTTTACTACTCTTTTGTTGTTTCTAACACGCCAAAGTAATAACGATGACTACTTATAGGACGGTGTCCATATTTTTTATCGTCGTCCATATTATTTTTATTTTAGATTTCGGTTTCATTACGGGATGTTCAAGAAAATTAGCACCGCTGGTTAAAATAATTTCGATGATTCAAGTGTTTTGCTTTGTGGTCTACTGCTACTATGTAATATCATATTTTAATGAAGATTTGAGTACAACTGTGACGTCTGTAACATTAGTTCAAATGGTCATACATTTGACAATACTGATATTTTTTAATAGAAGAACGACTTTTAGTAATATTTTAAAAGATATCGCCAGTTTCGATTCGAAATTGAGAACTAACATGGAATGTAGCTTTAATACCAAATTGATATTATATAGTGTTTTATCCTTGACAAGTGATATGCTGATTATTTTGTTTTACGGATACATTACTGAGCTTAAAGTTTATGATTTTTCTTTCGCGTTTGTACTTGCAATGCCTTTTATTACTTTCAACATTACTATGTGCATGTGTTGCCTCATCTTTTATTATATTAATTGCCATTTGAAAGAGATTAACAGAGCTTTTACAGATAGTACTCTTACTATATCTGAATGTTTGTTTCTATTTAAACATATATCTGATATTCTTGACCAGTTTATGAACGGGTTTGAGATTCTGGTTAGTATTATTTATTTAACCCACTGTAAGTGATTTCTATTTGATTGAAATTATATCGTTCTAAATACTTATTAATTTTCAGTACGCTATTTCATTAATTTTCAAAGTACCTGTGTTAATATTATTGACTGTCGACCGCATAATGGATATATTTAAAGTAATGGTTAGTGGTAAAATAAAACTTTAAACACTTACCTCATATTATGTGTATAATAAAAAAAAAACTTTTTTTCAGAAAGCTGAAAATATTTTGAGATTGATTCACACAGTTCTAATGTTCATATCGTTGATTTCGCCATCATTATTCGCTGGTTTACTGCCATCAGAAACCAGGGAATTGGAAATCAATATATATGACAGGCTTCTGTTCGAGAAAGGTAAGTTTGCAAAGTAGTTATTGGAAATTGACATTTAAATAAGATTTGTATTGTCGAACCAAGACCTTTGTGCATAACAGTTTATACACTGATAGTCGTTTGTTCAACATTTAACGTTAAAGACATAAAAAAGTTTAAGTCTTCATAAATAACCGAGGTATAAGATGAACAGTCGATGGGCTTCAGGGTTCTAATTGAAGACGTAGAAAACGCGGGAGGCTAAAGCATATCTTTTATAATAAAGTGAATCATGTGCTATTAAAAAAGGTGATGCACTGATCACCATGTGCACCCAACATAATTAAAAAATCTTTTTGTGATGTGATTGATATATTGTTGTCATGTTTAGATATAGACCAGGAGTATCAGTTGATGAGGTTCGCGGAGTATGTGGCGGCTCGGCCTAATCGTCTGCGCGTTATGATGGTGGTGCCGCTGGACTGGTCGCTGCCGCTCATCATTTTCAACGTTTGCGTCTCCTACCAGATCGTGATACTGCAGTTCAATCATTTGCTCTAAAGTGAATACAGATGATTCATTGTGGACTACATAAAACACCATGGTTTGTGAACATACATCTATTTTATGTGAGGTTTGATCAATAAAATAAAAAATAATTTGATTTTCATTTACGTTTAGTTTTAAAATGCTCTCGATGAAACCTTTCAATCGGGGAAGTTAAGTAATCTATTTTGCGCTTTTTTATAATTTTAGTTCTTAGGTTCGTAAAAAGCTATTTATTCACTGAATTACAGGCATCATTTTGTTTGAAAAATAACGATATCAAAATTGGCATCATCAATGTTTAGTATTCGAGTGATGTTTGTTAGTGGTGGCAGTTCTGTTGCACAAAACACCCTGTCACATACACAAACGTCCATTATGGTTTTAATTTTAATGTCGGCTTTGAGCTCTAATAAATCTTCTTAATTTGATAATTCTTCTTAATTGACGATGTTTGTGTTACAGTTTCAGGACAGGCAAACTGAGTTTTAAAATATGCTCAGTTTAGAGAGTGGTACACCAAAATTGGTACCAATTCAAGTTTATGTTTAAATTGTTTATTTTCAATTTCTCATTCACAATCCTATATTGGTATTTATTGTATGAAATTTATTATGATAAGTTCATTTTCTGTGAGAACATCGATTGTAATCTGTTTAAAGTTTTGAATGGAATATCTATATATGTCTATATCTACGAGGTGTATAATGTAGCATTCACAAGTTGACGGAGATGCAACTCAAATAACCATGGTGCGCGAGCCTTTCAAAGCCTCGGTACGGTATAACATATAACTCGTACGAATAATCATGACACCTGATGAAAAGTGAAATTAAACTGGTAGAAAAAAACAGCCCTTGCTGAGTAGTTTTGCGAACCGTTAGCGTAGTTTTCGACCTTCACAAGTGCTTGTTAGAGCTTAAACCGAATATATTATATTGAATTTGGATTTTGAGGGCCTATTCAATTTGACCTCGAACGAAAATTCGGAAAATTTCGAATCATTCGTAAAATTTTGTTAAAGTCATATTCGTGAAGATGATTTGTACATCAAAGGCGGCGTCAGGTCCAAATTATTGAAAAACAAGTATTTTTATAGTCTAAATAGTATTCCGAAAGTAGACGAAATTTCGTTTTCGAAGATAGAAGCATAGGTCTTCTGATTATGTTAATTCGAACGATTTATTACTTTCATATGCCGCGTAACATCATATCCATTAAAATTTTGTCTGGATTCCAACCTTAACAGTTGTTAATGTTTATAATGAATAAAAAATAAACAACCTTGATTCCGGTTGTTGCCTCCGGATCTTGAATCCGGATCTTTAATTTCTCTAGTTCGGTGTCGAATTGCCGTAAACAGTTAAACGATATAAACGACTTAATATAAGTTTGCTTATACTTTTGTTGTCTATCAATCTATCTAAAATGTACCTAAAGTTTTAATACTTACTTAAAATAAGACTTTTACGACCCATGTATATTTTGTCCTATATGAGCTGTTATATTTTGTCCTATATGACGACAGAGTGCCATTATTTTTGGAAAGTTTTTATATTTTGTTACTTTTAAATTTCACATTTTTTGTCACTTTTTATTTTTTGTCTAATATTACTGTAGTCTTGTTGTAAGTTTTGTCGAGAACCAAAGCCTTTTAAATACACACTCTGCATTCGAGCGCTCGATAACAGGAGTCCTTTAAATTCAATAATCGATTTTATCTTTAAATAAACTTTTAATCATATTATTGATTTGTACGTGCAAAACAAACATAAATCACCCAACAATTAGTGTCTCGTGTCACTTAATTCTGTGTGCAATAAATTACCGCGTGGAAAGCCAGTGTGCACAGCTAGTGGACATTAATCATACTTAGTGGTTATCCCGTTCATTTTGGGAAGTTTGCCCGCTTTTAGATTTGGCCAGTACTTGCATATTTTTGTAAGTATATAAATATTAAGAAGCTATTTATCAGATGCAGTGCAGTGTAATTTATGTTATGAATTATATTATGTTATGCATAAAGATAACTATGGTCCGTTTTATTGGAGACGCCTGCGGGCCTGTTGGAAGATGAGCAAGATGGTATATCCATTAAAATAACAAAGATTCGATTGCTTGTTTGCATTAGAATAGGCTCCGAAACAACTAGAACGATTTTAAGAATTCTTTCACCTACGCGTAGTTACATTATACGCGGGTGACATGGGCTATAATTTAAGAAGGTGAGAATACAGCTAGTACGTTATGTGATTAAAATACTAAATATACCTATGTACTAAAGTGGCGAGTGAATAGGCAGTTACATTAGAGGGCTGAACGCGGTGAAATATACTTTAAGTGATTTCCCTATTTTAAAGTAATATTGTCTCACTCTTTTCGTGTTAATTTATTTGGATATTGTTGTCATGTTTTCTTGGTTAAATTTTATTACAATTGTGTGATGAGCTTGCCCAAATACACATAGCTCGTAGGGCAGATGGTCGTAGGGCAAGTAAAGTCCTCGAGTGGCGATCACAGACCGGGACACGGAGCGTAGGCAGGACTCCCATAAAATGGATCTGCACGACCGACCGTTACCATACAGATGTATGCTTACTCTTTAACGCAATCGCGATCGATCGACGTTGCAATTGCAACGTTTGATTCTCTTGATTTGGCGCACTAGCGCCAATTGGCTCTATATTGCGTGGTTATTGAATGAACTAAGTGACATTGAGTTCGAGTTTGTATGTTTCATTTCTTACTCTTGACGTTAAATTAACAATTGTGTTTTTTAACCGACTTCAAAATCGAAAAAGAGGAGGTTGTATGTTCGACGGCGATGGCAGTTTTTTTATGTATGTTCCCCGATATTTTCGTCGATTGTTGACTGATTTTCATTTTTTTTTATTCAACAGTTTGATGGGTCAAGGTGGTCCTTTTTAAATTTTATTGAAAATGAATAAGTAGTTTTCCTTTTATAACAAAATAGAAGAGATTTAGCTACAGATATCACATAAATAATAATTTGATATGTTATGGCATGGCCTATTTCAGCTAAAAAACAAAAGATTGTGTATTTAGAATCCATTCAAAATCTGAATGGAAGATTTTCTATTTCAATGAGTATGTATACTCTTTGATGTATATTTTTTGAAATGATATAAATACTATGCGAAATTATTACGAGTTATATTATTTTTAGGTGATTCTGAATACGCTCAACGGGAACATTTGATGACTCCAATTGTAGTTACAGAAGTGGGATCTCGCGAAGAATATTAAACTAGAAACATTGCTCTTCACGCAGTACTGTGGAGAGTTGTATTGGCATTTTAAAAAATAGGTGGCGCTGCTTATTAGTACATAAAAGAGTCTTTCATTACCATCCAAATAAGGCAGCTAAAATCATAAATAGACGTTTTTTCTTGTACAACATGTGTAATCACAATTTAATATTGTGATAGAGAATGAAAATGAAACAGATTCTCAAGCTCACGAGCCTCATCGAAATGATCCATCATTGGAACTAAGACGAGGTGTTGAAAAGAGATTTTTGTTAGTTCAACAATTGTGGGCAACTCGCAGATAAAATTTCATTAAAATTTAAAAGAATTAGAAAGTAACTAATTGCGTTTTCATTTCCATTTCATTTTTAAGAGCAAAAAATATAAATAAGTTTCTATTGCTTTTTGTGAGGTAATTAATTCAGTATTATAAACTAACCTACTTTAATTATACAACAGTAATAGAATAATATCTATTTATAAGACAGGTATAATATTCTCATTGATTTTCCTAAACAATATTAAACTTATGTATAATACAAAACGTATTATAATTTGTACCATCTCATCCAATTAAGTTATATAACTATGGCATCTTTAAATAACAATCTTACTTAACAAATGCTTAGATTGACCTTTGGAATACACATAAAAATTAACATTAATATAAATAGATATCAAATTCGTGTTTTTTTTTTTAAATTTACATTTTACATTTGCTATCTCTAGCGAATTATTCATTTATTATATTTGATAAATTTTGCGATCACAATGCTATTCTGAAAAGTATCTTTAATAAAAAATGCTTAAAAATCCACTTTGTCCCATCTCAGAGTGCCAGGGGCAAAGTGGATTGAAAAAATATAATTTTAGTATTATACTTAATTAATTATTTATACCATTTGTGGGAAAGGATTGACAGATTTCTTTTCAGGTTAAGACTGTGAAAATATATTCAGATCATTTTATTTCTTTAAATTTAATGAAAGAAATAAGATAATTAAAATGAATACGTTGCCTAACCGGAGCCATCTTTATTTACTCCCCCGATGCGCTCGGGGGAGTAAATAAAGATGGCTTCAAAATGACGTCAATTTGAACCCACTTTCTTTTTACTTCAGATTTTCATTGAGCCGTCTGCAATAAGCCCTTGGTAATATTGGGATTTCGCTCCAAAAATTCTTCAAGACCTTCCACCTGTAGATGTAAAAAAATAAAAAAAAACATAATTATTTATTCAGTCTAGGCTGTTACAAGCACTTGTAAAAGTCGAGAGCTACGCCATCGGTTCGTAAATCTACGGCGGGAGACCTTTTACCGAGAAGAACCGGCAAGAAACTCGGCAAGGGCTGCTTTTTTCTCACTGTTTTATTTTATACAGAGCGTCAAGATTGAAAAATTACTTCATTAAAATATGAAGTCACTTTCCATTACAATATTAGACAATATTAGAGAAAATCAGTATTTTCGTCAATCGAATCACATGTGTAGGCAAAGAAGCTCACCGATAAACAACTTAATATACATGAAAAATGAGCCATATTTAACACCAAGCAGTTTTGTCGTTTAAATATTCATTTACAGTATAATATCCTTTACTGAGGAGACAATTCTTAATATGGGTTTTAAACTTAGGTAATGGTAAATTTAAAATTTCCATAGGAATTTTGTTATAGTAGTGTATACCTTGACCCATAAATGATGATAGTACCTTCTTTAGCCTGCATGACGGCAAAACAAGTTTAT